ACTTATTACTGGTCTGCCACTTATGGCCACTTATTACTGTTCTGCCACTTATTACAACCATGTCCGTAAAGGCATTTTAAATAGTTTATTAATTGTATGTCAACATTTTATTTATGTTTCCTAATAGTTTTTTCTCTATACTCTGTAACTCGTTGTTAATGAGATAATACTAAATCGTGTTATCATAATACATTTACTATATTAACTCAGGTATCAAACTCCATTCACAATTAATAAATATATTTATAATAGCAGAAACATCAAATGTGTTCTTCAGTATAGATTGTGAGTGACTAATTTGTCTTTTGAATATTTAAACTCTTTTACAGACTAACTAGTGATAGTTTGCGGAAGTTTGAGCAAGGTCAATACGGTCATGCACAATTATCGATATCAAAGTTTACTGATTGTCACTCTTAATGGGAAACATATACCTTGTGGCTACCTGTAAGCTGTCGATCACTCCAATACCCCTTCGGCAAGGTCAATGGATACTGAATACGTTCATCCGCCTATAAGTTAGCTTGTAGTAGTGTTACGTATTTACATACTTTAGCAGCGTATTACCGTTGTTTTAATCATCATACACATTTTAGGGTGTATGCTTTTTGTTCCAGTTATGTTAATGTATAAAAGAGTACTCGAGACGCACAAAACAACAACACCTTTCACAAGTACCACCTTTACCACAATCGTGACGTCTGCGAACGTCATAAAGAACGGACCTTGGTTGAAGATAAGACAAACATGTGACAAGACTCGCTAAACTTCCTAACTTAGAATCTGTCACATATCAGTAATATGTGTGATAATTATTGATGAAATGTAAGGATCACCAAAACTGAAAGTTAACCTTTTCAATGATAATTCATTAATTTAAAACATAGAAAATTAGCAAAACAAATAGAACGATTATTTATTCTGTAATTAAATAGAAATATAATGTCGTTGTTTAGTTCTTTCAATTTTCTTAAACAAGCATTGACCTGTTCATTTAGGGAGTCAGTACGTCTACAGCGTTATCAGTGATAAGCAATCAAGTCGACAAGGTCAAAGCTATGTTTATCCCATTCGTAATAGGTGTGGAATTTAATAAAGTGATTTCACGATTATTTAAAATAGTAGACATTTGCATCACAATAACCATGAAGATTTAAAGCATAGCCTATTTGTACAAAATAGTATTGTTTGGAAAAAGACTGCAACTAGCAATGCCACGATAGCAATGCCGAGACTTGTTCGGAGAGATATTGTTTTCTGTAGAAGGTCGATTTTAATAGATGCGTGTATGAAACGGAAATGGCTCCAAACCAATCGTACAGAACTCCATCACCTTAAATTTACCCACCCTACATGTCTTAACAAAAATCAAGTAAACACGTTTTTCCATATCTCATATTTTTGTTTTAGATAAGATATTTTTTGGAAGAAATGCATCACTTTGGTGACAATAGTGTATTTCAATCTATTTACATCTGTGACTTCTGTGAATTGTTTAGGGAGGCGGAACTTATCCACTTTTTTAAACGTTCTATAAAACGTGTATCAAAGGACGAATGGAATTCCACTAGCATATTTAGATCAGCTGGTGTGAACGCATTTTAAGAGGAAAAGCGGTTTTATATTTTTTAGAACTAGAACATTCATGTTTTGTGTCACAGCTTGAGCAATAATTTATATATATATATATAGCGATAAATAGTTTTAAATGTCCATGTGACGGTAAAAATATAAATAAAACAAAAGACGAAGACTAGTATAATCGGCTATACTAGCCGATAGTATAATAGCCGATTATACTAGTCTTCGTGTTTTGTTTTATTATATATATATAATACAATGTTTTGTATTAAAACTATAATAATCCAAAATGTTCGTATCCTGAACACATGGTATACTCAGGTCGGTATTATTGACTTGTCTACGTTTAAGCTTTAATTACTAGATGTATATAAACCATTTATAAGTTATTGATTAAACGCCAATGTCCCACTGCACTGTAGCTTTTTCTTATATACAGTATCTTCCACTCAATATCGTTTAGGATATAACTGTAGCACAGGTGGGCCTAGACATACCCGCTAACTAGGTAGCTCAGTCGGTTAGGATATAACTGTAGCACAGGTGAGCCTAGACATACGCGCTAACTAGGTACCTCAGTGGGTTAGGATATAACTGTAGCACATGTGGGCCTAGACATACCCGCTAACTAGGTAGTTAGGTCGGTTAGGATATAACTGTAGCACAGGTGGGCCTAGACATACCCGCTTACTAGGTAGCTCAGTCGGTTAGGATATAACTGTAGCACAGGTGGGCCTAGACATACCCGCTAACTAGGTAGCTCAGTCGGTTAGGATATAACTGTAGCACAGGTGGGCCTAGACATACCCGCTAACTAGGTAGCTCAGTCGGTTAGGATATAACTGTAGCACAGGTGGGCCTAGACATACCCGCTAACTAGGTAGCTCAGTCGGTTAGGATATAACTGTAGCACAGGTGGGCCTAGACATACCCGCTAACTAGGTAGCTCAGTCGGTTAGGATATAACTGTAGCACAGGTGGGCCTAGACATACCCGCTAACTAGGTAGCTTAGTCGGTTAGGATATAACTGTAGCACAGGTGGGCCTAGACATACCCGCTAACTAGGTAAACACTCTGTAGTCCGGGGTTCGAATTCAGTTCTTGTCCAGTTGATTATTTTTTCAACTAGAGCACTCTTGCTGATTATTACTTTGTTTAATGCATCTGATCAGCTGATTTTTAAAAATCCCACAATGTATGGTTTTCTTCCAGAAATTATTTATTACAGCTATATTTATTTCGGCAAAATCGGTTTCTAGTGCAAAGTTACTGTTTTTGGCAGTGGATCCTTAAGACAAAAATCTCAATTCCTCCGAGCTATAACCTTGTAAAAAGGAAATAGTTCTATTTGTTCGTGTGCTGCTTCACTACTACGTGATATATATCCTATTAATAATGTTTTTGGGGAAATATTTGGAAGTTTGAGTATGGTTAAGAAGAGGTGGTAAATCAATTTTGATGGTTTGTCAGAATCATAACTGTCGTTATAGTTTTCCTTTTATTATCTGGACGTTGTTTTCTGGGTTACATGTAAAATCATAAACGTACCATTGAAGTTATTGCAACTTCTAAAACGTGTTTCGCTATTGGATGATAAATCATGTATCTTGTGACAAATTATAATTTTTGTTTGGATAATCCAAAGCAACGAATCTACAACAGACAACGCGTATATATCACGTCACACTTATGTGTCAAAACTAAACAAATAATGTCGTTTCTGGAACAATTAGTTAAGGAATAGCTGTAGTAATTTTAATCAGTTTAAGGACGATATCTGGACATTTTTTTAAATGTTAGTGGTATCCAATCGAGTTGAATTATGATTAACATATATGGAGAGAAGAGCACTAAGGGAGGAAAGACAAACGGGACCTTTACAAGCCTAATAAACATGTGTCTGTTTGGGAATAAAGACCATTTCTATATGTATACTGTGTATGTACATGTTTATTTGGTGAAACAAACAAGAGGCCCAATGGGCCTGCATCGCTCACCTGGTATAAATCTCACACTTGTAACATTAAAAGTGATCTAAAATAAAGATACGGGCAAAATATCAGTATTTATGATTAAAATTAATTCAAAAGAACCAGTTATTTTTTTTTAAACATTTCACCCCTGTGATTGAAAGGCGAACAAAGTCATTATGTTGAACAAATTTTATAGCTTTTCATCTCAGGATGCAACTTGTAACGTATCAACATTCTGGGACCCATGGTTATTCAGAAGAGGTTGTTTAAAGATTTTAAACAAATTTGACCCCTGTGACCTTGAATATAAGTCAAAGTCATTCACTTTAACAAACATAATAGTCCTTGATCCCAGCATGCTATTGACTAAATATCAACATCCTGAGCATTTTGGTTATTCAGCACAAGTTGTTTAAATATTTTGAACATATTTGCTCCTTGTGACCTTGAATATGGATGAAGGTCATTTATTTAAACAAACTTGGTAGCCCTTGATCCTAGTATGTTTCTGACTAAATATCATCACCCTGGGCATTTTGGTTATTGAGAAGAAGTTGTTTAAAGTTTTTAACATATTTGAACCCTGTGACCTTGCATATGGATGAAGGTCATTTATTTAAACAAACTTTGTAGCCCTTTATCTCAGCATGCTACTGGCCAAATATCATCACCCTGGATATTTTGGTTATTCAGATGAAGTTGTTTAATGTTTTTCACATATTTGACCCATTTGACCTTGAATATAGGTGAAGGCCATTCATTTGAACAAACTTGATAACCCTTTACCCCAGCATGCTATTGGCCAAATATCATCACCCTAAGCATTTTGGTTATTCAGAAGAAGTTGTTTAAAGTTTTTAACATATTTGATCCATGTGACCTTGAATATGGGTGAAGGTCATTTATTTAAACAAACTTTGTAGCCCTTCATCTCAGCATGCTACTGGCCAAATATCATCACCCTGGGCATTTTGGTTATTCAGAAGAAGTTGTTTAAAGGTTTTTTAAGACAATTGACCACTGTGACCTTGAATATAATTGAAGGTCATTCATTTGAAGAAACTTGGTAGCCCTTCACCCAAGCATGCTACTGGCCAAATATCATCTCCTTGGGCAGTTTGGTTATCGAGAAGAAGGTGTTGAAATTTTTTAACATATTTGACCCCTGTGACCTTGAAAATGGGTGAAGGTCATTAATTTTAACAAACTTTGTAGCCCTTCATCCAAATTTGTTTCTGCCCAAATATCGACAGCCTAGGCCTTTCGGTTATTAAGAAGAAGTCGTTTAAAGTAAAATATTGACGCCGGACGCCGGACAATGGACGGACGGACGACGGACGGACGACGGACGCTGCGCCACGGCATAAGCTCACTTTGCACTTCGTGCCAGGTGAGCTAAAAACGACAAACGTTAGATGTACATTGTTTATTGTATTTGCTTTCAGAATCCAAATCAGAAGAAGCCCCTGTGTTGGAAGTTATTTGCAACCAAGGCAACGGTGATGTTGACCCTAATTATGTACCTTACTGGATGAGATCATTGACACCGGACATGAGTTATTTGCTGAGTGATAACAAGTATCCCTCACGAACGTCTACACGGCCGGATTGTTCCTTATTTCACGAGTTCGACTCTTCATCCGACAACGACGAGGAAATATGGACAGAGAGCTCTCCGATACTAAAAGAGGAGGGAGCTGACACCGAGATCTTAGAACTCCGTATAGTCAAGGTAAACCTGGTGCAATGTTTATATGGAAAAAAATGACGAAGTTCAAAACAGTAGCAATTAAAGTTCGGTAGGGAGGCTGCTGACCTGAGTTCAATGGACACTCCTTGCGAGCTCGGTTTGTTTTATAATTCACAATTAAGCATGTATGGAGCATATAGTTCAATGCGGACATTGGTCGACGTGTGGTTACAGGAATCACTAAAGTAACTAGCTCAGCTTTTTGTTCGGTATCTCCATTTTTTAACGAAACACATCGTGAAGAAAATAAAACATGTTGATGGTTACACCGCTTTTACCTTCATCAAATATGATATAAAGTCCACTGTGCTGATAATAGATATTTGTATTTTTCTCGAGAATAAAATATGAATTGATGATGTTGAAATGGCACTGTATTGGAACAAAATTGAAAGGACTATATACTTTTTTTATCAATTTATTTTCCCAACAGTTTTTCATAAAATAGGTACAGAACAGGTATTTTCATTTTCACACTCTCTAACACACATTTTGACACTTAATTCACTCATCATCATCATTATCATCATCATCATCCTGATTGTCGTCATCATCTTCCTCATTATCATCATCAGCATCACTATCTCCTCCGCATCCTGATCATAATCCTTCAAACTATCCGTTCCTCATAGCCATCATCATCATCCTCATCGTCATTGTCATCATCCATACAATGCGTGTCATCAGCAACACACCTCAACAGACAGCCACTGAACCAACATCATTTTTTTAATTGGTACACTCAATATTTGACATCAACATACTCAACAATCATGATTAACTCATTCATAATGAGGAAGATCAGCATAACACTTTTTCTTTTTAATATATTATTACATGTATACACATTTTATGACGGACAATATAATCCACATCATGTTATATTTTATTTCAGAACCAAATTATGTACTTCCCTTCATTAAAAAGCACGAACAGATATACCCACTCCTATACGCTTTCACTCAAACACACTCGCATGCACTCTATCTACAAAAAGATAAAACTCCTGTAATCGCTTTATCTGATATGTGAATAATATTGTCGAAAAGGAAGGAAAGAGAAATAAGAGAGAAGAAAGGAAAAAGAAAAGGAATGAATAGGCATAGATATTCTGTTGCAAAAATATTATATTGATGAATTCTAGAGATAGATACCAGAGACAGGGAAAGGACTATATACTACTAGTAATGGAACACTCAAATAAGATCCCTAACTGGAACAAACCCTATGGTATTGCTTTAATGTTCAAAGTGATGGGCTAGCAAAATGCGTTTGTTGAAATATTGCATTACTGCATTTTGTGTTTGACTATTTAACCTACCAAATCATAGATTTGAAAATATATATTTACACCAATAAATCAGATCAGTAAGTGTAAGTTCTTTTCACATTGTGATGTATTTTTGAATTATTGTTTACATATGCTAATGAATTATATTTTACACTCTTTTAAATATATAATATTGTTAAATGCAGGAGGACGAAGAGACGCACACTAAAACGGTGACGCCAACTAAAGACGATAACATGATAGTTATCCCCCCAGTATGGAGGTTCATCCAGGGAACACTGATTGTTCTAATCATAGCCCTAGTCAGCTTTCTGCTCATACGGTTCATCAAACGGCCTTGGGAAGACTCTGTACCAGTCACGCACCACGAGATCCATGCAACGTGACAGCTTGTGATTTGTTTTAATTTTCATGAATATTATCAATATTGTTAAAAATGCCTTAACCAAAGACAGTTTTAAACAAAAAGTATTTCCCTTTGTATATATATTAAATGATGATTGCTGAAGTTTAGAAAGGGCCTGATAGATGCAGAATAAAATCTGTGAATACTGTATATGTATTAATTCATAATTGATTGATCATTTACCCCTGCAATTACATAATAAACTATTCCAACCTTTGAATTGGAAGAGTTCAAATGTGTATTCAGGGGTGAATGATCACCAGGATAACGACGAAAGAAAGCACAGAGTTGAAATTTAGTTAATCCGTAGAGAAAGCCACCCACCCTTACCCTACTAAAAAGTTTGTTTACCTAAACCAATTGGACATTTAGGGTTGATCACTGGTACTAAACGCCAAGTCTTTACAGCCATGCGTAAGATGTTCCGAAATACAATTCACTTGACGATCGCATCTTTCAATCAAAATTTTGAGGCGTCGGTATAATCAAAGATATGTCTTTAATTACTATTTAAAGTTGAAAGCGTATAAAACCCCAGAGATCAGGGGTGATCTGATGTGTTTTTGTCCAATAGGTATTATAGTTTCACACATTTGTGTGAAAAAGAGTCAGTTGTGTGAACGGGTATTTTGATTTTGTTTTTTGTTGAAAAGGTGTTTAGTGCAAAATATTATAAAATTAACCTATAAAACTAACTTTCGTTTCGTTATTGTTAACTTCTATATCGGAGAATTCCGTGCAGTTGGGGGAATTGTGATCAGTTTCCATGAAATGCCTTCTAACTTTCAATATTTCATGAGTATTGGAGAAGTTTTTTCTAAAAAGTTCCTTCTATGTACCAATGCTCAGTTCGGACAAATTACATATGGAAACATTAAACCTGACTGTTAATGCATGTCTAAACCAAAATCCTGTAATTTATGGAATATATTTTATCACTTTATCTACAGACGTTTAACCACTATTGTATATATCTTGTTTATCACTTTATCTACAGACGTTTAACCACTATTGTATATATCTTGTTTAGTACTTGCTTATATCTCTTATATTTCATCATTGTTAACTTAACATTTTATCAAATTCAGTTAATTCTGATATTCATTTTTTAATTTTATAATTTCATCTAGTCGGACTCCGTTGCTATTACAGCCATTGATCAGAGTTTATTTAATTAAATGATTATGTGATATGATTTTACTTCAATTATACGATTATGTGTTAACATCGAGAATTGCACCGATGATAATGTTTCCATGTTTAACGACTTCGATCATGAGTCTAAGAAAATGAAGTAGTCTAACAAAATAACATCAATGACTCATATGATAGTATTAAGAATGACGTCAATAGATGCTGTATAAGTTTCAATGACGTCAATGATTATTGTTAAATGATTTTTGTAAAAATATTGAAAATAACATCAATGACTCATATGATAGTATTGAGATTGACGTCAATAGATGTTGTATAAGTTTCAATGACGTCAATGATTATTGTTAAAGTATTAATAATGACGTCAATGATTATTGTTAAAGTATTGAGAATGGCGTCAATAATTATTATGACAGCATGATAATAACGTTGATAACCATGGGAAAGAAATCGGTAATAACGTCAATGTTTATGAAGTCATCGGAAGTGATGTCGGTGCTATGTAAGCGCAATGTAAAACTGTACAGGTCGTAAACGATAAAGTGATAACATTGTGAATGAAGTCTATGATCATATGATGGTGCTGTGTTCTTAACAACATAGAAGATAACAATGAAAATTGCTAAATCTATGTACATAATTATGAAAACGATTGTTTGACTAGTATTATTGTTATGTTTACGTTATGATTTATCATTAAACTATATAGTTATGATTGATCAGTGTTTATTTTATTTTCGTTAATTTCAATATCTAACTCGTTTTTCTTTAAGGTCCTTTTCGATATTATGATACACATCGTACCACTTTATTTTCTAAACCATCACACGACAGCCCTCTTCAATGAAATCTCTATACCTAAAATATAAATATAAACTTTATTTCACAACAATTATGAAACAAGTTATTTTTACTTATATTAATCACTCTTGTTGACCCGGATGTTAGCGCGCTGAGGGTCTAAATGTGGGAGGAAACCGGAGTACCCGGAGAAAACCCATGTGGTCGGGCAGGTGATCTTATGCAATTATGTCATGTGTTGGCGTATGTTGTTTGTCTGTTATCCGTTACGTACATCACTTGGGGGCACGTCCAAAACATTGAAAACCGGGGTAGTGGCAAGTGAACAAGGCGCACGAATGAAAGAGCATGTTAAAAACTTTACCTTCTTGTCGCATATTTCCTAATGAGATAATGATGGCGGCGGTAGATTTGTACATGGTTATAACAGACCGAAAGCCTTTATTCGGAAGTTCGATTGAGTTTTTGAGGAAAACAAGTTACAAGTTTGATCAAAAGATGTTTCCATTTAATCGTGTTGAATCGTGCAAAGATTGGTAGCAAGATTAAGCTGAGCTTGCTTGATGTTGGTCCGAATTATTCTGAAGTTTTATCGACTTTTTTTAATATCGGTCTGTCGTCAATTAATTGTGTGATTTGATTATCAACGTATTTGGTCATGCTCATCAGTTATGTTTTGTTGTCACTGCCAAATTTATCATTTTGAGGATGTAACATTACTAGGATTTGACGTAGATTGATATGGTGGTTGTCGTACATGGAGAGACAGACGCCTTCCAATATCCTTGATTGATTCTTCTTATAGCTTTTGCAGAAATCTTGTGGTAATTATTCAGAAATTAGCCTAGGTTTGACACCGTCTTTTCAAAGTTCATCTGTCGAAAGACAGTTCATAGTCAAATCTATTATCAAGACAGTGTTCATCTTCTTATGCCTATAAAGGTATGGGCCAGAACTTAAGTACCAAGAGGTGGGGTCAAACCCCATAGTTCTTACATCATGATTTTGTTTGTTTCTTGATGCTCATCAATGTTATATTTGGATATAGGGTGGGGATCTCAGCCATTTCCAAGTTAAAGCAAAGGAATTAAGTCCCTAAGGGTGGTGCCAGACCCCAGAGTCAATTCTCTGACTCAGAATCATGATTGTGTTTATATTTATTTATTTGTATATATGGATATTGGGTGGGGATCAAATCTGTTTAAAAGCCCAAGCCATCCTTAAAGCATGTTTATTTGTCTTTATAAACTCAGCAATGGTATACATGGCTGTAGGGAGGAGTATTTGTCTTTATAAACTCAGCAATGGTATACATGGCTGTAGGGAGGAGTATTTGTCTTTATAAACTCAGCAATGGTATACATGGCTGTAGGGAGGAGTATTTGTCTTTATAAACTCAGCAATGGTATACATGGCTGTAGGGAGGAGTATTTGTCTTTATAAACTCAGCAATGGTATACATGGCTGTAGGGAGGAGTATTTGTCTTTATAAACTCAGCAATGGTATACATGGCTGTAGGGAGGAGTATTTGTCTTTATAAACTCAGCAATGGTATACGTGGCTGTAGGGAGGAGTATTTTGAAAATGTTAAAAGTTCAAAATTCTTTTGGCCCCATCCCACAGACCCGAGGTCCCTGCATTTGTACAATTTTTAATCCGAACTACTGGAGTATAATTTCTACCAAATATGGTTAATTTTCAGATAAGTTGCTCAAAGCAATATGGCATAAACCCTTTTTTGGCCCATACCTCTCAACTCCACAGGGGATCATCCCTCCATTTGTACAATTTTGAATCCCTACCATCTGACAATGCTTCCAACCAAATATGGTTTATATCAATTTCTCAGTTCCAGTGAATTAGTCGCTTAAAGCAATATGGCAAAACTACCAATTTATGACCTTGCCCCTCAGCCTCCCGGGGGATCAGACCCTTCCTTTGTTCAATTTTGAATTCCCACCACCTGAGAATGCTTCCAACCAAATATAGTCTTATTTCAAGAGAAGACATTTAAAGCAATATGGCCAAAACAGCCCTTTTTGGCCCTGCCCATCAAGCCCAGGGTGTCGGTCCTTCCATTTGTACAATTTTAAATCCCAATTATTTACGGATGCTTCAAATCAAATTTGGTCAAATTCCAATCAAAGGTTAAGAAGAAGTCATTTTAAGAAGTTGTAGAAGAACGACGGATGCCACAATAAAGCATTAGCTAACCTGGTACTTCGGAGCATGTAAGCTAACAAATTATTTGCGAATTTTGTCATTGTTTGACCAAAGTTGTATCTAGTAAGTCTATGTCTCGGAACATGAAAATCAATAGGAATTTGGGAAAATCGAATTAACAAGCTTCCACTTAGTACCAAAAGACGATGGCCATATAAACTAGTAATTACTCAAAGTATGAATCACAAATACTTTATTTCACATACCAATAAAACATTCTTACAATGAATAATTTCATAAAACACATTTCTTTCAATGAATATACTCGCCTCCGATCTCTTTTTCACACTCACTTTTTCACATCTCATTGTCTCTTATGCATCTCAACTATGAACAGATACCATCTATTGTAGAAATACAGATCATGTCTCTAGGTTCTAGATTGTCAATAATTTAAGCAATAAACTAATCGCTTGTGCCCAGTCAATGAAACATGCAGTGATAAATATCACAATATAATATTTCTACTGAAATTTCACGCTGAAAGTCGTTGGCAAAAGTGTTGGTAAACACTAGAATAAAGAGATTTCCTTCTATTTCTTCAACAAATGATTATCACTAAAACTTCTTTCTCCCTTTATGAGTTTGATGACAGGTGACTATTTGCGAAGTGGTCCTTGAATTAATGGTCCGGGTCGGATAGCCATTCCCATAGGATGCATGGGTGGCCCCATCATTGGTCCCATAGGTGGTCGCATACCTACAAAATACAGGTACAAAACATTATACTGTACGCACACAAGTATCAAACAGGGTCCACATTCAAACAAAATGTAGCTTAAGTTATAACTGGGGATGTCTTTATTTTAAAACAATATTATTTGACTGATAAAAAATAATAGTCCTTTCTAAAAGCTCCTTAAAATTACAGAAATTTTGCAAATTATAATTGTCAAAATTCCTAGGACTTTATTTACAAAAGAGGGTGAGAATGATCAAAGTAACTTATATTGACTACCAAGCAAACCTGTCATAGTCTCACATGGATGAATAACGAACACAGTTGATTTTTGAGCTCAATCTTTTCCAATTAAATAACGAAAACATCACCCTTTGAGAATTACATAACTAAAACATCACCCTTTGAGAATTACCTAACTAAAACATCACCCTTTGAGAATTACCTAACTAAAACAACACCCTTTGAGAGTTACCTAACTAAAACATCACCCTTTGAGAATTACATAACTAAAACATCACCCTTTCAGAATTACCTAACTAAAACATCACCCTTTCAGAATTACCTAACTAAAACATCACCCTTTCAGAATTACCTAACTAAAACATCACCCTTTGAGAATTACCTAACTAAAACATCACCCTTTGAGAATTACCTAACTAAAACATCACCCTTTGAGAATTACCTAACTAAAACATCACCCTTTGAGAATTACCTAACTAAAACATCACCCTTTGAGAATTACCTAACTAAAACATCACCCTTTGAGAATTACCTAACTAAAACATCACCCTTTGAGAATTACCTAACTAAAACATCACCCTTTGAGAATTACCTAACTAAAACATCACCCTTTGAGAATTACCTAACTAAAACATCACCCTTTGAGAATTACCTAACTAAAACATCACCCTTTGAGAATTACCTAACTAAAACATCACCCTTTGAGAATTACCTAACTAAAACATCACCCTTTGAGAATTACCTAACTAAAACATCACCCTTTGAGAATTACCTAACTAAAACATCACCCTTTGAGAATTACCTAACTAAAACATCACCCTTTGAGAATTACCTAACTAAAACATCACCCTTTGAGAATTACCTAACTAAAACATCACCCTTTGAGAATTACCTAACTAAAACATCACCCTTTGAGAATTACCTAACTAAAACATCACCCTTTGAGAATTACCTAACTAAAACATCACCCTTTGAGAATTACCTAACTAAAACATCACCCTTTGAGAATTACCTAACTAAAACATCACCCTTTGAGAATTACCTAACTAAAACATCACCCTTTGAGACTTACCTAACTAAAACATCACCCTTTGAGAATTACCTAGCTAAAACATCACCCTTTGAGACTTACCTAACTAAAACATCACCCTTTGAGAAATGGTTATAACCTCATACACATACCTGGCATCATAGGAGGCATAGGACCTCCATGAGGGGGGCCCATTAGGGGAACTGGACCACCCATGGGGCCTCCCATGGGACTTGCCATGGGAGGTCCAGAGGCAGCTGGAGCATTCTGTGGTTTGGAAGTTTTGTTACCTGAAATTACCATAAGCTTTTATCAAAAGAAAAACACTACAGTTCTATTGATTTACATACATTTCAATATCAAAATAGTTAACATTCTATCATTGATTCATTGCACTAGAAGGTGACTTTTTTCTGCTAAAACATTTTTTTATCTGAAGATTCTTCAGGATCACAACATTTAATTTCCCTGACAAACGATACAAACATAAAAACGTCTGATCAATGTATACCGTATTTTCCGGACTATAACCGCAATTCAGTCAGGAGTCTGCGGTTTCATTACAGGTCCAAATGATTCATTTTTTTATCTTAATGTTAAAATCATGTTTTGTAAGTTCTGGGTATAACTGTTTAGCTCAAACTTTTCTTTCAAAAACGAAATGCAAAATTGACAATGAAACAATAATAAACTAAAAAACCATTACCTTTGTAATAACTCCTTGAAGTTTAAACAAGTAAATCAACACAAAACTAAACAATGAAAAGAAAAGATAATAATAGTTTTATTCACCTTTGTAGATGTTTCCACCGTTACTGGGCTGGTAATTGAAATCTGTTCTATATCTATATTAATTTCTTGCAATCTGATATAACAGCGTAATTACATCATGTAACTGCACTATATACATGGCAGATATCAGGTTATAATGGCGTGGAACCATATACAAAGTAAACAGTGTTATACACATATGCAGTGTAAGTCAATCAAAACAGAAAATATTTACCTGACTTTCATCTACCTGGTACCTCAATATGTATGAAATAAAAAATTCATTGTTACCTGTCCGACATCAGTCGGGGGAGGGCCTGAGTGCAAAATGGAAATTTGAGGGGGTCAAGAAAATACACCAACGCGAGTTAAAATCAATTTTACAGAAAAAACGGATTTAAGAAATCGGCACAGCGGTAAGCGAGTTATAGCCCGGATAATACGGTGTATGGTGGGAGGTATACCAGATGGGGGTGGGACCATGGCTCCTCCTGCACCTCCCCCTCCCGACTGGAATGGATTGGAAGCTATCTTACCAGCTTTGAATGCAGCAGCTGAAACACAGACACATATTCAAATTGAAAAAGATGATTTTTATTGTCTAAAGAAAAATAATCAATTAGAAAAAATATAAGTACACCTTAAAAAGTATTCAGTTAATATAAGTGAACACTTCTTCGTTTGAAAAACATGTATAAAAATATTTTTTAATTAGTGAGAATATCTCATACGTCATATTTAATTTAAAAGCTTCAGCATTTCCATTGCAAGTTGGATTCTATATCAAAACACTATATATCACTTTCTGAATGTTAAAGTTATTAAATTAACAAGTACTAATTGTAAATTCCTCATCTTTCCAGGCTGACATTCAAAATCTGTCAACCTAACGGATAGGCCACATACCAAAATGTCTTTGGCGTCCTACAGTCAGGTTGGCCATATTTTATACATAAGATTGAAAACCGTTGTAAGGTATCTTTGAGTCCGAATAATATGCCTTGAGAAAGTGTGAGATAAAATAAAAATTTGAAAACTATCACGAAATGTTTAGCTCAGCCTGTTTACTATATATATACCAGGTACTTACTTGTATCGTCCACCAGTTTTTGCACCTGTTCTTCAAGCCACTTCTGGTAGAATAGTCTCACATTTTCTTTATGTTTTCTGCCATTGCAATGTGTTTTTCGAACCGATGGCTGCAGGTAAAAAGAAAATTCTTGATTTACTGTTCTATTCTATATTTAAGCTTGCCACTCTCTATCTTGTGTGGTTAAATATCTTGGTTTTTCTACATTCA